TCCTATGGTTTTCAACGGCTGCTTTGGGGAGAGTAAATTTCCAGGCCTTCCATGCTCTAGGTGAGCTATGTTGTTGTTGTTGTTGTTAGGTACCTCCCAGGCAGTTCCGTCTCAGCAACACTATGTACAGCAGAATGAAACGCATCCTAGTCCTGCACCGTCCTCACCATTGTTCGCATGTTTGAGCCCACTGTTGTAACTACCACATCAATCCATCTTATTGAGGGTCTTCCTCTTTTGCTCTGCCCCCCCTTCCCTGGCTGTTAGCCATATTGTGATGGCTTATGTGTTGCTGTGGTATTGGCAACTATGTCCTTGATATTTCAAATACCAGCAGGATCACTCAAAGGGAACAGGTTTTATTAGCAGTTCCAGACTAAGTACAGACTATGAAGAAGGACTAGGCTGCCCACTGCAAAGGAATTAGCCATTGCAAACCATATGGGTAGTATGAAACACAATCAGATTATGCAAACCTCATGAACAGCACCAGTGAGCTAAAGAGTGTCATGAGCCAAAGTCTGGTTGTGTACCAGCAACCTAGCTTCACCTGGGAGCTTGTTAAAAACACAGAATTTCAACCTATATCTCAGACCTGAATTACAACTAGATTCCCAGGTGATTGACATGTCCATTAAAGTTGAAGGTGAGAGGCAGGGAAAAGGAGGATTCGTTTCAATACAGGCAGACCCTACTTTAAGCTAACCACATGATTGAACTTCCTCAAAGGCTCTAGAAGAGCCCACAAGACTCACACAATCTGGTCTGTTCCTTCCCTCTACGACTCAGGTTACCTCTCTGGTATCAGCTTCTTCTAGACACACACACCCCTTCCCACAGCCACCCTGGCCTCCTCTTCAAACTTTCAAGTAAACTCCTGACCTGGTGGCATTTGCACTGGTTCTTCCTCCCGCCTAAATCCTCTCCTACCAGATGTGGTCCCCTTGGCTGGCTCTCTTCGCACTCTGTTTAAATGTCACATTCATGATAATCATTGTTTCAAGTTGCCACCCACCCTATAGTATTCCAATATTATGTCAACTAGATGCTCCTGCCTAAGGACAGAGTTCAACCTGTCAAATCAAGAGATAATATGCCGACACCTCCTTCAGGGTGCAGCCTTTTGTATCAGAACAAGATCAAACAGATGATTCCTCTGTGCCACTTTGCCTTCTTCCTCGCTGGGACTTCACTAGAACTCTGTCTGCCATGTTTCCACTGACCTTGATCCACGTGACTCTCATTCATTGGCCTGTGATCTCCCTGCTTCAACTTCACCTTTCTGCATCAACGGTCTGCAGCTACGTGAGTCTGAAGAAGACCCCAGACATTTGGACTTGATTGAACTGGGCTGGGCCC